ATATATATATATATATATATATATATATATATATATATATATATATATATATATTTATTTATTTTGTGAGTAGTTGCAAATAATATTTAGAAATATATTACGTTAAATCTAAAAGCGATTAATCACTGTCGCGCCGATTTATTGTGTGACGGTCCCTAACCCCTCGGATGCGATAACCGCTTTTTAGAACTTTGCTCCTAATCATAGTCCGCATTGTTTCTATTTAATGGAGTTAATTCATGTAATGATTATTATTCAAAAGAGGTTTCATTGTTAGGTTTTCGATATATTTTCTTCTTCTTTTAGTAGTTAATTTCCATTTGCCATATAATAATTCCAATATCATATTTCATTAATCAACTAAAAGTAATATAAGTCCCACATCTTTAGGCAAATTCAATTTATTTCATCATTACAACAAAAAAATTTAGGTCTCCTTCACACCATGTATTTCAACCTATAAATTTCAAAACTATCTCAACAATAATAAAAAAAATTAAAAAAAATAATAATACGTCAGTTCCTCCAAATTTAACAATTTATTAAAAATAAAACCTCAAATGGGACATTCTTATCATCCCCCAATAGTTTTAGTAATAGTTTTGTTGATGTTAGTTTGTGCACCAAGATTTGGGGATGGTCAAGGAATTGTTCTAAAATGTGATGAAGCTGAATGTGCAGATATTTGCAGAGTAGAGTACAAAGATAAGCTAATCAAATCCTATTGTAAGGATTTACCGTCTGGTGTTGGGAGTGAGTGTGTATGCGAGCATTCACGTAACAAGTAAACCATATATCGGATTACTTTAGATTTGATGAGATTGGAATAATGCTCTACTAACTAATTAATTATTTAGTTAGTATGACGTTTGGTTCTGCATTAAATCTGTTAAATTCTGATATTATACATGATTTGTCTGTAAAACATACTCAGACTTTTCATTAATGAGCGAAAGCCTAGCAATTTCATGCGCTGCGTGGTTCGCTTCTCTCTTATAGTGCGAATCTTGAACACTTCAAAAATGTTGGCTAGGCGTATAATACCGTCAATAAAATTCCCATAGATCGTGCGACTACCTACTAAAAAATTAAACTTGGGGTAGGGGTGTTTCTAATTTAATGAAACAGTATCACTTAATAATAGAGGATTTCAATTTCTGCAATGCATTTGAGTAAATATGAATCGTATCAACCAAACGTGATACTAGCAGCCCTATTATTTAGTCAATAGAACCTTACAACGATAACCGACCGAGCCCTAATCGTGCAAAGTAATCACTGAATTAAAGTGCAAACAAAAAAGAGATACATAAATATACCATGTCCAATACACACATAAACAATAATAATAATAATAATAATTAATGTTACAAGGAGCTTTACAATAATGGGTTGAATTTAATTTGGAGACAAAAAAAACACATATTTAATTTAGTAAATTATTTAGGAATAAGGACATCTCCAATGTTGTTGTGCCATGGGTCGGCCAAATGGGTTGCCAAGTTCTCCAACGGGCCGGTACCCGGGTATGCCGTTTGCTGAATACAGAATCCAACAAATGCCAACAATGCTAGGCGACCTATTTTCAATATTTAAATTAAATTAATTAATTTGTCGAACCCGAACCCGAACCCGAACCCGAACCCGAACACGAACCTAGTGTGTTAAATAGGATCGAGAGGAAATCGAAATGAAAATTCTAACTTTTACTTTTCCAATTTCTTCGGTATAACTGAAAATATGAGATTTCGGTTTTTGGTTCAAGTCTAAGTTACAGAAAATAATTTAGGCAATTCTATTTTTATTTTCGAAATTTAGACTTATAAAATAAGTATTATCGTGTAAATGAATAAAAATAAGCATATATACAATAGTATATTAACGTAAAATTAAAATGGGAAAACATAGTTTTAGCTCCTCAAATTAGCACTGATTTCACATTTGGTCCCTCAAGTTTACAAAAAACACATTTGGTCTCTTATGTTTAAAAATTCAACACTTTTAGTAATTTCCATCAATTTTACGTTAAAACTAACGGAATCAAGCTTACTAGACCAACGGTAAATTAACGAAAATGACCAAAAACGTTAAATTATTGAAACATGAGAGACTAAATATGTTTTTTGTGAACATAGGGGGACCAAATGTGAAAATCGATGCAAACTTGTGGGGTGAAAACTGTAATTTTCCCAAATTAAAATTATGAGAGCATATATAGATAGGGGTGTGTACCATTTTTAATTTCCTTGACTTTGAGCTCTTGAAGCTTCTTCGGGTCCTTGGAGTAACCCAACGGGTCGAAAGCCCCACCCGGGTACTTCTTCTTTTCCGGGTCCTTTTCCATGCTCCTTTGTTGCTCGACAAATGCAATTGCCAAGAATTCAATAGCCAAAATTGTGGGTAGGGTCCCCCACGGAACCGGGTTGCCCAAATAAGTCGCTTGCCCGCCCGGTAGTGCCGCCCATTCTTGTGCCTTTACCCAGTTGCCCAACCCCAACGCCTCCGGGACTAGGATCCCAGGCTGTAAATAACACATATTAATAAAAAAAATCGAAAATAATTTTTTGGGTAAATTAGGAAAATTCCCTTAAACTTAGGCTAAATAACGAAAAATGCCCCAACTTATCTGTAATAATCAAAATTCCCCTCTGATTAACTGTTGATCGAGTTTGTTAACAGAAACGGTGTACAATCTATTATACCTTATGTTAAATAGGTGAGAAATAAAAGAAAATATTTGAAATTGTGCAAAGATTATTTGAGGGAATAAAAGAATCCATGAAAATTCACACTGTAGGGTTGGTGTAAGACGGAAACAAACCTCAGAGTTTTTTTGGTAATTACGATAATAGGTATAGGTAGGGGCGAGTCCACCCCTTTGGGGAGGGTCGACTCAAACCCACCCTTCAATTACAAAATTTTCTCCATATTTTACATATATAACTATTAAGCCCACCCAATATTTATTAATTAGTCCACCCAAAATCAAAATTAATGCAAAAAAAAAGCCCCAATTATTATTAATTAGTCCACCCAAAATTCAAAATTATGCAAAAAAGCTCATTTGGTTTTTCCTATTTTTGATTTTGTCACAAAAAAAAAAAAAAAAAAAAAAACCTAATTTTGTTTGGGGAGCAACCCCGAAAATTTCGACTCGCCACTGGGTAGAGGTGTTTTTCGCTATTTAATCTAAGTTCAGGGTGGTTTTTGTAATTTACCCAAAAAATAATTATATATAGATGTACAACTTACCACAGCAAGCATAGCCCATCTGCAGTGAATGAGCTCAGACTCCTTGTACCTTTCTAGATTTGCTGGCACTTCACCCAGACCAAGTGGATCAAATCCAAAGTCTCTGAAAATTCAAATATATTAATAATAATAATAATAATAATAATTAAAATGCGATAAATTAATATATATATAATTATATTATATGATTAATTAAATTGAAATAAATACCCAGGTGCAGATCCATCGAGGTAGGGTGGGCGAGGCTCCCCGGGCATCCACTCGGCGGACATTGTAAACCGTGAGGTGGTGGCGCCGCCGCTCGTGGCCATCGGAATTGAGGCGGCGAATCTCGACTTCGAAGATGAGAGGACCGACGGGCGGACGACGGCGGCCGCCGCCATGCCGCAGCTCATCAATGCATTCGCGGCCATAATTTTTTTTTTTTTTTGATTTTTTCTTTTTTGTGAGTGAAATTAATTGACAAGTGATGGTGCAGTTGTATAGTGAAGGGTGGGAGATATTGGCATATCCAATTGCTGATTGCTATTGGCTGATGTGGTGGTGGTATCTGTTTTCTATTGGTCCACGTGTCCGGTTTAATCCTATGGGGATTGTTGATCTGGTGTGGCAGATTTTCAGGGTATTTTGTGTGGTTGGTTTTTAGTTTTGTGGATTATTATTTGTCTACGTGGAAAATGATGGTTGGATTATATTCATGATTTTTTTTATGGGTAAATTACAAATACCGCCGATGTATGGTCAAATTACGAAAACCCCTATTGTTTGAGTAATTATAGCCACCCCTCAACTATAAAACTTTTTACTCGTCCACTCTTGAGGCTTCAAATTTAGTGGAATCTTCGAGATTATATGGAATATTATCACTCTTGTACCCGTTTTATCCCATTCGAACTCCACATTTTGAAGCAAGATGACCATAATATGTGTTTTTTGGCTTGTATATATCAGATTATGGTGCATCAAAAACTGTATTTTTACACAAAACGAGTGCAAACTAGAGCGCATTCCACGAAATCTAGATGATTATGTTGAATTTGACACCATAAGGGTGGAGGTGTAAGAAAAAAAAACATAGTTAAGAAGGGTAGATGTAATTATCCAAACAAGAAGGGTTTTTCGATAAATTGACCATACCTCAGTGGTAATTGTAATTTACACTATTTTATTTTCTTGGGTCGATTGACTTAGATTAAAGGGTTAATTTTTATTATTTTAATTTAATGGTGAATTTGTGATTAAGTTGTGAGACTTATAACAAAGAAAACTTTATTTTATATCCTTATTGTGAAATAAAAATAAAGTTCCCATACTTTAATAATTTTGTGATGCTTTTATCAAATCTTTCCTTGGATTATTAACCTTCTAGATTTTAATACTTTATTTATTTATTTTTTCATGTTATTGCACCTTAATTTTGTTTAATATTATGTTTGCACGATACTAATTAATGTGGGTAAGGATGGTCTATAAGTTGATAAAATTTGAGAACTTGACGTATAATAATTTGACTTTGATTTCTGTTATTAGTATTTCTTATGTCGAACTCGCTATACATAACTTGTTCATTGTAATTTACAGTTTTCACATAATTTATTGACTACTGCACGAGAGGTTAGTAGTTTATTGATTAGAAAGCTAAGTATGTTGATTAATGTACTATAAAATCCAAACACCTTGTTTATTGTTAATAATTTTTATTTAAAGGTATTGTTAGAGTAGTCTTAATGGCAGGGGGGATTTTAAAGATTTTAATACTTCATGGGGTGTTTGATGCGAAAAACATAGTTTAGAGGTGTAAAGTGTATTTTTTTTCTTAATAAAGATGTATCTATTGCATTTAAATAATATACAAAATTAAAATTGTTAACTCTTGTTTAATTTTTCTTAAACCATTTCAAGAAAAATATAACATGTATACTTTATCCATTGAATATAAAATTTTATCATTATCATGCTAACTTTAATATTTATAACTTAGAGGGTGTTTGGCTAAACTTATTTTAAACAGTTGATAAGCTCTTACGTCTGATAAGATGTTTTAAGAGCTGATAAGTTGTTACATCTTATTTTTATGATTAATTTTTAGAGTGTTTGGATAATGAGTTTATTTCTTATTTTTACTCATTATAAGATCTTATATAAAAAGGTGGGGTAGATGTACTTTTTTAAAGAGATCTTATTTGTTCTCCAACAGCTTATTTTAAAAGAAAAATTAAGATATTTTCTTAAAAATTTCCAAACACTTTGGAAGAGCTTATAAGCTCTAAAATATATTATAAGCTCTTTTTAATATCTTATAAGCGTAGCCAAACACCCTCTTATAAATGAGTGAATATATTTTACATCAATTATCTACTAAAGGAAATTTAAAAGAAATATTTAAAAAATCCAAAATCGAGTAATTTGAGAAGTAAATTCCAATTTACAACAACTAAATAACATATCCATTGAGTAAATTTTTAAGAAAATGTATAATGATATGCCTAATTGCGCCAACCCAATTGACTTACAATTTATTTACCTATTGGGCCACGACGAGCCCAATATTGAAAATCACTATCACTGATGCCTAATCATCTTAAAATAAGGTTTGAGCCCAACAATCTCAACCAAGGTATAAATAACGATATAATTCATTTATTAAAGGTACGTCCTATTATCTGAGCAATACTACATGTATTCTCTGAACTATTTCTACTATCCGCACGTCTGATTTGAGCGTCGGAGGGGTTTCCGCTGGATCAACCCCGGCCTAGTTTACGTGTTCTCTGTTCGCAAGTATCTCAGGGTCATCTAGCACGTGAGCAATGATCCACTTTGCTCTCCCAGCTCATCCTACCTCTCTTATTTAAGGCGATCTATTTATAACATCATCATATAATAAGACCAATATTTTCGTTTTACTCTTGTTCATTTACCGGCATTAAGTTTTGTCGACAAAACAAGAAATACTAGTAAAATTAAGTTCTGTCGACAAAACAATAAATACTAGTAAAATATCCGATTGGCACGATTCATATGCTTACTCAAATATACATTAACAATTAGAGCCATCAATTAAATGTTATTATTTCGTTGAATTAATAGCGCACATCTTCAAACGAACAATGTTATCCTTCGAATGATTTGTTAAGTTTGTTAACTGAGAAATTTTACAGACTAATTACATAATTTGTTCAATATTACATCCAGTGGATACTATTTACAGACATTCATATGCATATATGTGTGTAATTGTATTCAAATCAAAGGTGGAAAAATGGGGGTAACGTTTTACTATGTCTAAAATAAAGTAGATGCATATGACACATAATATAAAAATTGGGTAAATTACGGCAACCATCCCCTAAGGTAATGTCAAATTAGGAAAAAAATATTTTATGTTCGAGTAATTACAACCATGTTCCTTAACTACGAATCTTCTTATACGTTCACTCTTATGGTGTCAAATTCAACATAATCTTCTATATTCCGTGGAATATTCTCTAATTTTTATTTGTTTTGTGCAAAAATACAATTTCTAATGCACCACAATCTAATTTTTAACTTTCTCTTTACTCTATTTCTCATCTGTTCGTACCTCCACACGTAATGACTCTTGGGTATTGTCCCGCGATACAACCGTTTGACTATGACGATGGCCGTTCGTTTCTTGTTCTATACTTTAGAGACAAATCAACTTTTCCATCTATATAGCAAGTCTTCCTGTGAGTGTGAGAGGGAGAGAGAGAGTCTATGAGAGTCTATGAGAGTGAGAGAGTGGAACAAACACACACAATTTGAATTTTTGTTGATTTTTTTAGATCTCTATTCTTTGATGAGCGATTGAGATTCACTTCTGAGTGAAACAAACACAAGAGAGTTCAAGTATGATGAGGTGGGGTTTGGGTGGGAGACTTGACCAAAAAATTGAGTGATTCCAATCAGATCTAGCTTTCGATAGCTGTGCTTTGTATAAATAAAAATAAAATAAAAAGTTTTTCATTTGGTTTATTCACCTAACAAAATGTGCCATTTACTTCAATTGAAACTGGGTAAATACCATACCAAGAAAATGCAATGTACTTGGAGATGAGAATTTAGCAAAGATATGCATTGCTAGATTTTCTCATCAGCAAATACCCATACCAAGAAAATGCAATGTACTTGGAGATGAGAATTTAGCAAAGATATGCATTGCTAGATTTTCTCATCAGCAAATACGGTGGCATTTCTTACTCTTCTTCAAACAAAACTAAATTATATGTGATCTTTCAAGATTCAATAAAAATTGTGGCTAACGTCGTGGACATGTTTTCTTGTTGTATTGAGTTTTTTTTATTATTTTCATCTTTTGTTTGTTTTTTTTTTTTGAATTTTTTTTTTAATAATTATTTAACCTGGGAGAGATGACTTTTTAGTAATTTTCAGACTTAGATTAAGAGGATGTTTGGCTAAGCTTATTTTAAACAGCTGATAAGCTCCTACATCTGATAAGATGTTTTAAGAGCTGATAAGCTGTTACGTCTTATTTTTAGGATTAATTTTTAGAGTGTTTGGATAATTAGCTTATTTCCTATTTTTACTCATAATAAGATCTTAAATAAAAAGGTGGGGTAGAGGTACTTTTTTTAAAAGATCTTATTTGCTCTCCAACAGCTTATTTTTTTAAAAAATAAGATCTTTTCTAAAAAAATTACCAAACACTTTGGAAGAGCTTATAAGCTCTAAAACATCTTATAAGCTCATTTTAACATCTTATAAGCTTAGCCAAACACCCTCTAAATGGTGAGAAGATCAAAAGTCTGAAAAATAACGATTAGGGCCACATTGAGATAATTTTTCAAGTACATGGGCAAATGCAATTGAGAGTAGAAGGGGGTAAAGTAATATCGAGCCAAAATACAGGGGGCAAATCGATGCAATTGAGAGTAGGCGTATAATGAAATTTACCCTAAAAAAAAAAAGAAAAAAAAAAAAACCAAATTCATCTGTTCTGGTATACTCTCCAATCTCTTCACAAATTGGAAAAGCGAAATCCCAGTAACTAATTCACATGAGCTAATGATTCACAGTACATTTCCCACCTAAATCTCGTGATTAAACTGATTATCCAAAACCCCACTGCTCAGAAGCCTGTGAAAATTCGTGCTTCCATGGCGTCAGTGTCGCCGTCGCCGGCGGTCACTGTTCTCTGCTCTACAGGAATCGCTCCGAGAACCAGAGAGAATCACCACAACAGGAGCGGCAGCCACGTCATCAGCCCCAGCAAAAAGAGGAACCAGAAATTGAGTAAAAATGGCGGCGGCGGCGGTGGGTTGGGGAATGTTGTGGAGGTGGTGCAGAAAGACGTGGCGTTTCTGAAAGCAGGTTTGGGGAAAGGGTTGCAATGGGCGAACAAGGCGTTTCGGATCCCGGAGGTGTCGAAATCGGTGGAGGATTTTATATGGCTGCGGAATGTGGAGGATCCACAGGCGGCGGCGTTCGCTCCGCCTCCATCCTGGCCTCAGCCTTACTATCCAGGTAGTTAATTAATTAATTAATTGTTTGAATTTGCATGAGATTTTTCAGAATTAATTGAAGTATGAGAATGGTTTTGGACAATTAATGTGCTGTTTAGTGAATTGAAGTAGGAAGTGATTATTGGAAGTGATTTTTGATTTCATTAAGGTTGAAAAGTATGACAAATTTTGCTCAATAAATTTCAATTAAGTCTGCGTTGGGATATACATCGGCAAGGAAGTCGATAATTGTTGTACATGGTTATTGTCTGTACATTTTGTCGCGGTTACCTGATTCTCGTGATTAAGTAGGAAATGAAAAATCTGAATATTCTTTTCTACAGAGATTTCTGGAGTGGATTTGTTTATGTCCGACCTCAAAGCGTTGGAAGTGTATTTTGGCTATTTTTATTATCGATCCAAGATGTGGACGAAGCCTCTTCCTGAAATCTACGACGCAGAGGAAGTTGCAGAGTATTTCGCATTGAGGCCTCATGTAGTTGCTCTCCGGCTTCTTGAGGTAATTAAGAACCCTAGATAGATAGATAATTAATCACACAGCGAATCTAGAATTCATAATGATAAAAGAAGATAAGTTTTGATAGAACGAATGAATTCTCCCAGAATAGTAAACGTGGTACTCGAAACTCGAGAATGCAAAATGTATAAACTCATATCATTTAACTGCCAACTTTTATTCCGGCATGACTTTTTAGTTGGTATGATTTATTTAATTTGGATCACTGAAAGCTATTGTTGATTACTCTTTGGGTCATATTCAATCAATGCACAAGAGCTGTCGTCTTGCAGTAATATTTGATGAACTTCATCTTACTCGATTTTATCTTGTGGAAGGTCTTTACTGCCTTTGTTTCCGCTACAATCAAATTAAGGATCTCTAGTATCAGTTCTGCTGCCGACGAGGATTCTCGTGAAAAGGCTTCTGAATACAATTTTGGGATAGTATTAAAAGAAACAATGCTAAACTTGGGCCCCACTTTTATAAAAGGTAGTACGTGTTCTATGTCGTTGTAATAGAAGTTGGAAGACAAGATACTTAAAGTGTTAGTTCAGCTATTTACAGTTATACTGTAGTGTTTCACATAATGATTTTGATCGATTATGAATTTCCTGATGCAAGCCCTTGTTTTCGTGCAGCTGGTCAGTCCCTTTCTACAAGGCCAGATGTAATTGGTTATGAAATCTCAAAGGTGCGAGACTGAACCATCTTTATTTAATTTAAATTCAATATATACGAAGAATTTTGTGTTAACTGATTTATAGTATATCGACCTCTGTTCGAAATCTTGTGCAATTTAAGTGGTTTGGTCAAGGTTGTTTCCCATGTTGAACGTTAGGCATTTTATTTTACTTGATACTACAAGTATGATAGTCAACTGGAACCTAACAGTAACTGCTACCTGCACAGTACAATATATACTTTCCGAAACAGTCATGTTAGGGCTCATTTAATTGGTAGGATAAGTCATGATTAATTAAACAATTAGGCCTTATTTGATATTTGGTTAGTGCAACAACTTTCCGGGCCGGCCTGCAATTATGAAAAAATAAGCTTTTATTGGGGGATTTGTGTATTGGACCTCCCCTAGTCCAATTTTACAATTGGGAACCAAAAGATGCCAATTATAGTATTTAGCTTCGCATGCTATTTCTTGGTACAAACATTAACTAGTTATAGTGGGTGGTTCGTTTTTCATTTTCATTTTCTGTTTGAAGTTCTGATTGCAGGTACTGTCGGAACTTCATGATCAAATCCCTCCTTTCCCTCGACCTGAAGCTATGAAGATTATTGAGGAAGAGTTTGGTTCTCCCGTGGAGACAATTTTTAGCTATTTTTCTGAGGAGCCTGTAGCTGCAGCTTCGTTTGGACAGGTGTAAAAGATTTCCGTACTATGTCACAAAGAAGAAAAGAGATAATTTAATTACATAACAGACACTGAGTCTTTTTTATGTTTATGCATGTCACCATTTATCATTTATAGGTCTACAAGGCAAGTACTTATGACGGAATTGATGTTGCTGTGAAAGTTCAACGTCCTGACTTACGCCATGGTGTTGTCCGAGATATTTATATTCTCCGCATAGGGGTTCGTCTCAATTCTTGTGTTTAGGATCTACGGTTGTGGGATTTAATGCTGAAATTTAACTTTTGAATAATTATTTCAGTTAGGGATTTTGCAAAAGATACTAAAAAGAAAAAACGACCTTCGTCTGTATGCGGATGAACTTGGAAAAGTCTTGATTGGGGAGTTAGATTACAACTTGGAGGCTGCGAATGCTTTTGAATTCCTGGTAATTCTTTCTAAAACTCTTTGTATGTAGAGAAATTTCTATGCATGGATAAATCTATGAAGTTTTCTTACAGATTAATTTGAAGAACGGTGATATGAATGGGATAACCTTTTCTCGGTGTTCCCTCGTTTGCTAGACGTGACCATATTTTGAGAAAACAAAATTGCTATTCACCTTTTTCATAATTCAGTTAACTGCTTTTTCTGCTTCTTCATGTGAAAGTATCGCCATATTTTTACCTTTTTGATTCCACATTCGACTGAGTTTACACCACTAGAACAGTATATCTTGTACTAGCCCGTGATTATTAAATTGCTATTGACTGTAATTGATTCATTTCATTGCAGGAAGCTCATTCTCGCTATTCGTTTATTTGTTTACCGAAAATATTCCCGCATTTGAGCAAGAAGAGAGTTCTGACTATGGAATGGATGGATGGTGACAGTCCGAATGACTTACTATCTGTGTCTTCTCAGGAATCCAACAAAAAGCTTCTTGATCTGGTATGGGTATCTGTTAATTCTCAAAAAAGAACTATTTGGATGAATTTAGTACAATTATAGACACATTTTCTCATCGATTCAGTAGCAAGAAAGCATATATTTCTTCGAAAGAAACAAGCCTAAACTAGAAAAAAATCATGAAGGAGGTTATATAGTTTCATATATAGAGACTAAACAAGCACTTCTCTCGTAAGATTGTCACATTTAGAAAACAATCATCTATTTGAACAAAAGATGGCTATGACATTTAAGGTTAGAGGAAACCTCACTGATGTCACATATAAGCCCGCAATTTTTTTGGTCTCAAAATAAAGTGTACAATTGCAGTCGAAACTTAATATAAGGTTCGTGGGACATATACTTATTGTGAAAACTTGCAGAATAGTGACAGGAAATAAGAGCTTATTTATACTGCTGCACGAAAATTTCAGGTTAAGAATGGTGTGGAGGCATCACTGGTTCAACTTCTCGACACTGGCCTAATGCATGCTGACCCACACCCTGGAAATTTGCGTTACATATCCCCTGGAAAAATAGGGTATTCGCTCAACTGCTAATTCTCACATGCTTTATGATTAATATTTGAACAGTTCAATAAACATCTAACACTTGGTGATTGTTTTCACATCTTTGTTCTAATAGGTTTCTTGATTTTGGATTGGTTTGTCGAATGGAGACAAAACACCGATTTGCAATGCTTGCTTCAATTGTTCACATAGTAAATGGCGATTGGACATCCCTTGTGAACGATTTGACTGAGATGGATGTTATAAGGCCTGGAACTAACATAACGCGCTTCACCCTGGTAGTATCCCTTGTTCTCCTTTACATTTACTCTGATTTAATCATTTCAATTAATTTTTAATTTCTGATTTTTTGTGTGAAATTTATTCAGGCCCTCGAAGATTCCCTTGGGGAGTTGAAATTTAGCAATGGAATGCCAGATGCCATGTTTAGTCAGGTGAGTTATGAGTATCATGTATGAATCAACCTTACTATCTGCTACGGCCTACGAGGCAATCTTCTGACTTGGATAATAACAACTCTTCATGACTATTTATTTGTAATTTTACTAATTAGCTTTACTTTGTAAAATTTAATGATTTTTAGAGTTAGTTTGTGATTTATGTGCTAACATAAAAGAGGAGCCTGAGCACAGAAAGCATCACTCTAGATAAATATTGTGTTAGTGATCATGTCGTTTCTGCTTTATCCATTTTTAAAACGTTTCTTGATATTTGAGTGGATATGATTTATAATTTCTTCTAGAATTCACTTTTATAAGGAGATGCCTAAAAATTCCGAGACTGCTGTTTACTCAATGTTTAGTTCATTATTCAATTTTTTGTAATTATTTGTCTGATTACTTATCTTGCAGGTACTGAGCAAAATATGGTCTGTAGCAATAAAGTATCATTGCCGCATGCCACCTTACTATATACTTGTCTTGCGTTCTCTGGCATCTTTGGAAGGTAATTGACTCTTCTTTCTATTTTTTATCGAAAACCTTTTTGTCATAGGATGTCACTATTAAATTTTCATATATATATATATATATATGTTGCAGATTACAAAAACTACTAGTCTACTTTCTTTATATGCAAGATACTGAAAAATAACTTGTTGGATCCTATTATGTTTTAATCTTCAAAATCGATATATCGTTTGTGTGTATGCAGCTGCCACGTTCTTTGAACATTTATGTGTTCCTTATTTCTGTTTCATAGGATTGGCAGTAGCATCGGATCCAACGTTTAAGACATACGAAGCTGCATATCCTTATGTTGTTCAGAAGCTTCTTCTTGACAATTCTGCCGCCACCAGGAAAATATTGTATTCGGTACCCTATAGATGATTTATTTATTTATTTTACTTTTTTCTAAATATTTGGAGTAGACCTACAATATGGGAATCTCGGGTTGGTTTATTTATTGTCTGTAGTTTAAATTTTCAGGTTATATTCAACAAGAGTAGAGAGTTTCAATGGCAAAGGCTTGCTGTCTTCTTACGAGTTGGAGCAACTAGGTATTTTATTGCTACTGCCTTTTCTTCTCGAATTTTGAATACGAAGAAAAAATATTTCATGAAATCATGGTTTTGATTTTCAGGAAAGTGATGCAAACTTTGGTGCCGTTAAATAATCGAACTTCTCTTTCTCAATCTGGAAATGGAGTTGGCCCTGATGCCAATCTTGCAAACCTGGCTTTGAGACTCGTAGTGTCTAAAAATGGCCTCGTCTTAAGAAGACTTCTAATGACTGCGGTGAGCAAAATTTTTTTTTTTTGGCTTGCTCTGATTCGAGTTTGACTGTTGAAGTTTTGCTTATATCCTCGTTCTTCACCGCGGGTGGAAATTAAAACGGAATTTCCGATATCCACCGATTCCGATCCGAATTTTTCCTATTTTGGAACAATATTTTTCATTTTGAATTCAAAAAATTCCGATTTCCGATTTTTTTCAAATTTTTTTGGACCAGAATTGGCATATACACGAGATTCCGTTTTGCGATGATTTTAATTTTTGAAAAAGCTTATGAAAATTCTGATTAAAAAAAAATCACTTATAATATCCATTTTATTATGCATTTTATATTTTTTAGGTGAATAAAAATGGTAATTTCATAATTCCTCCAGTTCTGATTTTTTGGAACAAGTTTTTTAATTCTGATTTTCGATATTTGATTACAATTTTTTTAGAATGGAATTAAATCTAGTTTTTCTTGCGAAAAAATCGGATTTTTTGAAAGCGCTAATCCCGATTCCATCGTCCAATTTCCACCCCTATTCTTCACTATAATGACTAGGTATAATTCTTACAATACTGTTAAGCTGGTTATTACCAGGTAGACCCCTCATATTAACATAAATTACGCAAACATCCCTTGAGGTTTGAGTTCACCAACACTCAACTCCATTTGACCATTGATTTGTTGAAAATTTTCAATTCCAGTTTTACCCTTGACCAAATATTGAGTAACTTTGAGTTTAGTCAAAATTGCATATAGACCCCCTCAAATTTTGATATTATTACAGAAACATCCCCTAAATTTCTAAGAATATTAAGCTGGTAGCGAGTGTAAGAAACCATTCTGTATATTATTATTCCGAACTTCGAAACTGAATTTATATTCTAACAAACAGGATGGATCTTCATTGGTAAGGGCACTCGTTTCGAACGAGGCAAGTTCTTACCGGCAACAGCTCGGCAAGGTCGTTGCCGATATACTGCACCGTTCGATGTGTGAAGCCTTGGGGAAAGCTCTCAATCTCGCAATAGCAAAAACCCCACAAGTATCTTCAACCGAAAACGAATACGAATCCATATTGAGAGACCGTCGAATTAGAGTTATCTTCTTTAAATCCTTAAATTCTGTCAAGAAAAATCCCATGTTACTGTTCAGGTTCTGCTGCGCTTCGTTTGCTTTGTTCTTCGTGGCATCGGCTGTGGCTTGTCACAGGGTGTCGATTGCAATTGCAGAGGCTTATTTGGACCGGTTATCGTATAATTCGAAGAAAATTGCGGTGGCTGCTGTATAAGGTACTACATGGTTGGAGAGTTCTAATTATATACAGTGATTGTATAATAAAATGTTAAATCTTTGCTCTACAATGAGTGATGTAAATGTGTATTTTAAATTTAGGTTCTCTTTGTACCCCTATATTATCATTAGTGTCGCATATACCCCATGTACTATAAAATGCGACAAAGTGGCCCCTGCCTGTTAAACTATGTCAGAGAATCCGTCCATTTTCAAAGTTGATCGACTATTGCACTAGATGTTGGACAATTCCGGAGGAAAATACCCCCATGGTTGTGTTTAAAAAATGCGCATCTTTCTTTCTCTTTTGTACTCAATTTACTCTCAATTTTTTTTTTCATGTTTCTTCAGTAATTTATTTTCCACGGCCTATAAATTTTCACCGGAATTTTCTGAAAAAAAAAAAAGTTTATATTCTGAAAATAAGCTATAATTTCCGTTTAAATTATGAAATTTTGCAATTATGTTTCCGACTTAAAAATCACCCAACATTTATGAGTTTCTTTTATTTTTGATAATATTTATAAATTCGTTTTAGATGTTTGAAAAGTTTTTTTTTTTTTTACTTTCGGCGTAAAAGTTCACGATTTAAAATGTTTCGCGTAGTTCTAATTTCAATTTTTACGTCCAAACATTAAAAAACATATTTTTCTAGAACCACTTGTCGTGCCACCGGAGTGTTACGTAATAAAGTAAAAAAATGGCCAAGTAATAAAATCGAGAAATTCCTATTTATGTCATACAAATGTAAGGGTATAAAGGTAACTATACTAGATAAACTAACGGTGTTAAATATTTGAGGGTTGACAGTTAAGTTGAGGGGCCATGTTATTGCATTTTGTAGTACATGGGGTATATGCGACACTGGTGATTGTATAATGATCCGATTCATATTTAACCCTTTCTTTTTAAGAGAACAATGAACAACCTAGTGGGTTAATATGTTAGAATAGTAGACTAATAAGTCTCACTTTTCTCTATGTAATTGATCTCTTTATTAATAAAATTTATTAATTTTGGTAATCGATAAAAATCTACAAATAAGTGTTTAATTGCTTTTAATATGTATTGTTTGTTATCGATCAATTAAATGAATAAGTCTTTTATTCTAATAGTATTTGAAATAGTGTATATTGTACTTTACTTTACGGACCGAATACAAATGAAATAATTTTATGCTATTATTTGGTGAAATTTATGGGAGATCAAAAACACTACTTTTAACCAAAAATGTTGGAAGGGCAAAATTGTCTTTTACTGGGTTCACTCGATTCATTTGTCTTTGTTTTTTTAACAGTGATATTAGTATTAGCAACATAAAATTATAATTAATTAGAAAAAGAACCCCCAAACAAAA